GGGTACAGCCCCTGCCCCAGCAGCTCCGTCGGGTTCAGATGGGTCACAGGGCCTGGCTGCTGTGGTCAGTGGCTGGAGTGGCTGGAGCCCTGTGGACATGGGAGCGAGGCTGCGGCCCTGGCCGTTCACACCACCAGACTGTGTCGTCTCACATGTTGCATCTCCACCTGGAGTTCAAGGAAAGGTCATCTCGCTCTGGACACCGCCTCCCGGGGGACGGACGTGAGCGGACGCCCCCGGTTTGGGTGAGACCCGTACAGTCTCCACACCCGCTTTTCAAAGGGCAGCGTGAGAGGGAACAAAAGATACTGTAAAGGCACTGGAAGGAGCGTGTGAAAAAGGGCGGCCGCAGCCACGCCCGCCGTGCGGAGACGCAGAGCTCTGAGCGGCACTCGCCGAGCCCAGCGTCCTGGGAGGAAGGCCGGTGGCCTCGCGCGGGCTCTGCCTCCCAGAGTCCGTGTGGAACTTCACGAGGTCCCATCAGGGCTGCAGGGAAGGCGCCCAGTGCGTGTAGGTTTTGAGCACGATCCCAGCCATTAGCAGCCCAGGAGTTACCGACCCGAAGAAGGCACTTGCCACAAGCTCCACGCGACGCCCTGGCGCCGGCAGCATTCGGGAGGAGCAGCCTCGAAGCCAGAGAGGCCGTGAGGCCTGAGCAGCATCTGTGGTGCTGGGCGGCCGCCCATCTACAGCGAGAGGGTCCCTCCTGCGCAGGCTGCCGGCGGGCGCCCCGGCCTGAGGGTGTGGTCCCTCTGGGAAGCCGAGGCGTGCCTTTCTCACACGGATCCCGCCTCGCTGAAGGCCAGGGAGACCAGGAGGTGGGGCTGCTATGCTCCTTGGCGAGTGGGCACAGCCCCCAGCGGACCTGCAGACTCACGCGGTTCCAGTTACCATAGCGACGACCTTGCTTCTGTTTGGGAACTTGACAAGCTGCTTTTAAAATTTACCCGAAGGAGAAGGTGCCGCCGGAGGTGGGGGGACCTCGATGTGCGAGGGCTGGGCTGCAGCCTGGTGGGGAGGAGCCAGCCTCCCGTAGCTCGTGCTGCGATCAACGTGGGGAAGCCAACATCGGATCTTAGCTCATTCCATTCACAAAAATCTATTTGAAGATGACAAAAAGACAAATGTAAGAGGCAGAACTTATAAATATGTTTTTATTGATTTCAGAGAGGAAGGGAGAGTGAGAATCAATTGGCCACCTCCTGCACGCCCCACACTGGGGATCAAGCCTGCAATCCGGGCCTGTGCCCTGACCAGGAATTGCACCGTGACCTCCATAGGTCGATGCTCAACTATGAGCCACGCCGGCCCGACAAGAGGCAGAACTTTAAAACTCGGAGAAGAAAATGCAGGAGAACAGCTTCTAGAACAGCGGTTCTCAACCTGTGGGTCGTGACCCCTTTGGCGGTCAAACGACCCTTTCACAGGGGTCGTCTAAATACATCCTGCATATCAGATATTTACATTATGATTCATAACAGTAGCAAAATTACAGTGATGAAGTAGCAACGAAAATGATTTTATGGTTGGGGGTCACCACAACACGAGGAGCTGTATGAAAGGGCCGCGGCATTAGGAAGGTTGAGAACCACTGTTTTAGACGTTGGGATAGGGACGGCTCGTTAAGCCAAATGGAAAAGCGCCGTCCTCCCTGGAGAAAACATTCCGTGTATCGGAAGGAAGGGCCGTCTGTGCACGGAGTACCCTCGTTCTCCATTCCTGCGTGGGAAACCCGTGCCATGGTGCCCAGCGTGTCGTTAACTTTTCCATGTCGTCTGTTCTATGGCTTTTAAAATCGAATGGTCTGAATAATCCAGGCAAAAAGATGAAAGCTGCCATTTGACCAATCAAACAAAAAATCAAGGCTGCTCCGCCCGCCGATGGCACCATGGCCTCGCCGATCCGTCCTTGGACTCGGGAATCTAATCCCGGTAAAGGGACCACGCTCCA